CAGAAGTTCAGGAAAGCAGGCTGGAAAAGGCTGGAATTCACAAAAATCAACTAAGCAATTGGTTTCCTTGACAATAGACCTCCCTCGCCTACTCTATTCTGAATTACCCAATCCTTGGCATCCATTCCTCCCACAGCCGGGATAATCTAATTCCCTCCACTTCACAGTCAAAACACACATCTGCCCTTCTTCCTCTGCCCCCCCCCGCCCCCTTTCCAGGAATGCATGAAGTACAAGGCAATTTCCATAGCAACTAATCTTATTCCAAGAGACTCCCCAGGCTTTGACTGGGGAGCACACACACGTGTGTATACACCCTGGGTAGGGGGAGAAGAGAGAGAAATGGAGGAGGAGAAGGAACATCAGCCCTAATCTTTCTACCACCAAGGCATGCAGCCACAAGCAATAACGTATTCATCCTTCTCTTTTATATTTGTATTCAGGGAGGCAAGGCCAAAATGAGAGACTAAAAGATTAACCCAACACCGCAGATTGGACAGAACCTAATGAAATGAAGAGTGTATTCTATTCTCTTTAGAAAGACTAGACTCTGTATCAAACTGGGTAAATTACAGTGAGGATCATTCCACAGTTCACAGAGAGCAATTCCAGGTTGTTGCCAGCAAGACATTTCACAGGGAGCTGCAGCAGCTAATACATACTGTGCCTGTAAAATGCACAGACTTGCAAGTGATTTAATGCACAATTACAAAACTTTGCCGTTTAAAGCTCAGCTGGGCAATCTGAGGCCTGAATGTGGCCCACAGGCCCAATTTTTGCAGTCCCTAGACTTCTCTGTGTTTGTGCGATTTAACTGCAGATTCTTGACTACTGTTAGCATGATGACAACGTTCAAAAGATTGAGCGAAAAGAAACAAATAAGATGAGCCAAATCTTTGAAAAGGCTCCTGCACTTTCAGTTGCAGACCTCGCCCCAAAATTACTTTTGCCCACTGTGGGAACTCTACCTCCTGGCTGCTGATTTTTAAGCATACCCAAATGAAAAGATTGCCTCTCTCTTGATTAAAGAGCACATCTTAAAAAAATCCAAGGACACATTAAGAGGCCCCAAAATAAAACAAGAGAACCTGAACATTTAGAGTAGCAAATGTAATACTTAGTGGGTATAATATGCCATTCCTGAATTTCCTTCCTTGGCTACTGCAGAAGCTATTAGCCATAGAAACGTGCTAAGGAACAGCTGTTTGTAACTGTATCCTCCAAACTAATTACTTTCCACAAAGAAAAAATAAAATCCCTCTCAGTCCCCAGCATCACACACACCCAAAATCAATGAAAGGAGAAATACAAGAGTGTAATGGGGATGGAGTGTTGGTAGAGAAATATGATTATGTCAGGCAGAACCTCTCTAGTGGGCATTTGTCATTCAAGCAGATTACAACAATAATGACACTGGAGCAATAATTCAATCTGTTTACATAAGGCCTTGTATCCAATATATTTATTCAAGAGAATCCTGATTTCAGTCCACTTCCTTCCTGGGAAAATGATAAATTATACCAACCCATTAATCTGCACCTTTTAGTCCAGCTATCAGAAAGAAAGCTCGAATTAAAAAAAACACTAAACAAAAAAGCACAGACAAATGGATACTGCATCCACGTCACCGTGTACAAAGAGGGAACAGTAACCATCACCAGGAAGTCAGCTGAAGAAATATCAGCTATCAGCTTTATTTGTTAAAAAAAAAGAAAGAAGTGGAGTGAATTTTAGTACAAATCTGGTTTTGTTAAGAAGAAATCCATCCCAATGTCCCTTGATGAAAGAAGCCCAATCCTAGGCATGCCTATTTGAAAGCAAGACCAGAACAACTGTACTGAAATGTGTCCAAAATATTCACAGGAATGCAGTCATAGAAATTAAGGAGAACAGAAACTATACCACCTTGTTCTTTCGCTCCTCTTTGAAGGATGGAACTGCTATTCCATTTTAGACTTCAGAAGTATGTCCAAAGATGCCAAGTTCTCTTACTCAAGGAAACTCAAGACTGAGAATTTAATTTCAATCTCTACAGAAGAAAGCACTTTAACTACTCTCTGCTGCCTCTTTGCAAGGCAGCAAGATTATGTTCAAGCAATGGGCATATTTATAGTGTAATTCCATAGAAGGCAACTCAGAATGAAACACCACTAAATTTAATGGGATTTGCCTGAACATTAAGTCAGAAGTGACTGAATGACTAAAGAACAAGTATGCTCAGGATTACTGCCAAAGTTGCATTATTTAAAGGAAAAGATGCATTCAATTCTACCACCATCACCTGAGCAAATATGACGGTACCAAAAAAAAAAAAAAGGGGCAAATGATAGCATAAAGACATAGGTTGCCAAAAGCTAAGAGCCTCTTGAAACTTCAGATGTAATTATTCCACTGCACATATACACTTCATTTTGGTGTCTGTGAGAAACTTCCAAAGACCAATGTGAGTTATCAGAAACTGAAAATGGGGCTTTCCCATGAGCATGAATTAAGAGCAAGTTAATGGATTGTCTTTCCGTCATAAATGTGATTCTATGAATTTAACAACTTCTGTCATTACAACTAGTTTGCAAAATAAACAGTGCATTACGGTAGTTTGGGGAGACTAGCAAACATGCACTTTTAGAGAATCAAAAGAGGTTTTGAACCACAGACATTAAACTGGAAGGAGGAGATCAATAGTGCAAGAAAATGCTGAAGGGTACACTGATGCAAACAGCTCTAGCCAGGTCATAAACACCTGAATGTTAGTTCCTGCTCACTTCACTGATATAAACCCAGCCTCTTGTAAGCTCTTGAATCTTGTAAGAGATTCAAACCAGAAGCTTGCAAATCTCTCCTAAAAGTTATTAGAAAATACCTCAGACCACACCCAGGTATCAGGAAGAACAACTTGAACAATAGGTTAAACTAATCTGCTCAGGATTTGCCATCCTCCCCGAAAGGGAAATTCCAATGCACCCTCTAACAGAGGGTAGAACTGCAAGATTTGCAGGCAGCATTAACTGCTCCTTCATGTTGATGCGCAGGGGCGCTTAGAGCTCCCCAGGTCTGCTGCTTCTCCCTGCTAATGCCTCCTGCTGCTTCCCCACCCCCACCAACCAACTTCCTTTCCCTGTTGGAGCCTGGTTGGGGGACAACAGAAAAGATAAACAAGCAAACCAAACAACTATATATTGGACCATCTGCAGGAAAGAATTAGCAGACACAGGAAGCTCTTGTTGTATTTTACAAATGCAGGATAAAACAATTTAAAAGTCATTCATATAGCAGTGACAGTTGTTTGAGAATGAATCTCTTTGTCACTGTTTTTCTTGCTGAGGGCAAACTTTGCCTTTGCCAATGCAATGTGCTAGGAATAGCTTGTGTTATTCTAGCAATGAGGCTAGAGTTAATCTCTAATTAGACACAACAACTTACAAAAGACATCTTTAGGATCCTGAATCTTCTTTGCAATAAAGCAAAAACTAAAGCTGATGCTGGAGAAAGGGCTGTTCTGATATCAACCCTCAATAGCAATTTAGGGCACTTGAAATAAGGAATGGAAAGCTTCTTTGTCATTCATTTTAGCAGAATTTTCTAAGCAACTGGGAGAGAAGGTAGCAGTAATGCCCACTATCTATCAGCTATCCTCAGCTGGTACCCACCAACCATGTTGGACTACAATTAGCAGAATTCCCAGCTGTGCTGGTAGGAATCCTAGAAGTCAAAGTCCAACACAGCTGGTGGGCTGATATAATAAAAAAAAGTACAATATCATGTAGACTAAAAATGTGTCCAAAGTGTGCTGCGCTGTGCCTTTTCAGTTTCAACCAATACCTTCTATCCATTAAAAAATGCACTTGGAAGAATCTTTCTCTCCATTCTTTTTCAAGTGTTTTCCTAAACCATCTTCTTAAGCAGAACCGCAATACTGATCTTCCACATGATACCAAATACATTCTTAAAATTCACTGTCATTTGTGTGTGGGTGTGTTTGCTGAGGACGGATATTTTGAATTGACTATGAAAGTCAACCCTCTCTACAAATCAACATTCCCAAATTCTTTTCTTCAGTTCACTTTTATCAGAATGCTACTGGTCCATTCCCCCCCCCCCCAAGATGGAAGTCTCCTTCCTGTTTAAATGCACTGTAAAGAACTCTTGTCCCTCAGCTGATGAACTTTCTGTCCTGGCTTCTCTTTAGCCTAAGAATGAACAAAAGCTACCTTTTTTGACCAAGCGCAACTGACAGCCGGTCTTGGAAGCCCAGGCTGTTGGACTTTCATTAACTCTAACATATTTTAAATTAGAAATATGTAGGCAAGCTCTGTCTATAGTGGCTACTTTTCACAGACCCATCAAACATTTGCTGGAATTCTTGCAAAGAAGGTGGGATCGCCAGCAGTAGCCTATTTTTCAGCAAGAATATATTCATGGGACAGCACTACACTGTGGAAATCTGAGCCACTCAGAACAAATAAAAATAATAATTTAAAAAGTTACCCACTCTTGTCCTTAAGTCTTTCAACTTCAAATACTCACTTTACCCAGAAAGCACATACTTTCGGTGACCTTCACCAAGAGTGATTTTGAATAGTGCAGGCCCTATGCAAAGTATTAAACAATCATGCTATTGCATATCTACCCCAGATGCAATGTCAACCTAAATCATACAAAGATCCCTAGGTGGCTGCTTGGGACACCAAGTTTTTATCCAGGCTTCCTCCCATTTGATGTTGCAGAGACTGACCTACACAACTCTTAAATCACAACCCAGAGGCCCATCAAGAGATCCAAGCCCAGTGCCCCAAATATGCAGGGGTAAGTTTGTTCAGATCAGACTGGAAATAGGGTTACCAGCTATGATTATCAGCTTAAGCCATTTTCGCTCCCCAGCTCCGGATAAAACAACGTCTGGGCTTATCTAGCACAAGAATGGATACAAGCACTACGGCTTTAAATTCCAAAAACCAAGAATATAAAAGTACTTCCTCTTTCCTCCAGGTGGTCTTGCTTACCTGGCCAAAAGATGTCTGTCTGCCTGGCACAGCCTGCCCCTACAACACTCCACGATATGGGACATTTTAAATTCATTGCTCGGGGAGGACGAACCACTCACCCACGATCCCCGTTCCCAAACAGCCCCTTTTCTTATCCGAGGCCAAGGAAGGGGAAAGCAAGAGGGACAGTCGCCAAAGCAGAAAAGGGGCTGAAACTCGGGGAAGCGCCCAGGGCGTCCTGGTATGAGCGTCTGCTAAGGAGCGGCGCAACGGGGCGCAGAAGTGGAGGAAAGCGGCTTCGGCGCGGAGGCGCTCAGGGCGGGCAGAGAAATCAACCTCTGCTTGGCGAAGAGGACAAGGCTTTACAGAGGTCTGGAGATTAACGAGGAGCCTAGCCCTGGGTGGGGACATGGAGGCCAAGTGGTGGGACATGGAGAGAAAAAAAGAGCAAGCGGGAGGGATAAACCAGGAAATCGCGAGCGGAGTAACTTCCAAGGCGAGCAGACGCCAGGAGCGCCCAGGCGAGGGGGCTGCCCGCTCGCTTACCCAGAGCTCCGTGCCCCAGTCCATGCTGGCAGCGCTCCCGTCGTGCGTCCTCTCGTTAGGCCCTCCCGAAGCCGAACTCGCCGCCGCTGCAATCCCAAAGAAGCCCCACTCCTCCGGCCGCACAACCTCAGCGCCTGCCCGGGACACTCCCTGCTCCGCCCCCGACGACGATCCTTAAAGGCGCAGTCAGGAGCCAGGCCGAGCCGGTTGCCTTGCTTTGCGCCCGAGCGGCTGTCTCGCCTTGCGTCTCTTTTCGCCTTCCTAGAGTTTATTGGCGTGCGCGGACCGCCCAGCCTGCCCTTCACCCGCCCGTCGGGATCAAGAAGGTCGAGAGCACCATCCTGCGAGACGCCAGCGCCGCTGCTCCTCTCCCGACGGGGCTCAGCGCCCCTAGCCCCCATCGGTGCCTGGCAGGTAGAAACCGAGCACAGGCCCTCGACGAGGACCAACCCAGCAGCTGACGCAAAAGTCAGGGGGGCTTGTTTCTGGTCTTCGCAACAAGAGCTTCCCTGCAAGAGCTACGAAGAACTCAAAAGCTTGCGCGCTGTTCTGTGGCGTCTGGGTGGATCCCACGAAATGTTTCCCAGGGTGAATTCGACAAGGCCGTCCAAGCCGTGGTCCTAAACATGCTTACTTAGGAATAAACCACGACGGGGGGGGGGGGGACGTAATTTAGAAAAACAAGGTGCCCATTCGCAATGCAATGGGAGCGGATCCCTCGACCGGTTATTTATCGCCGCCGAGCTGCTCGTGAAAGGTGTTTTACAGCAGCAGGAGCTGGGATTTTGTTTCTGGCCGCCTCCCGGAGGAAGACAAGTCCAGAGCGGCGGCCGGCACTTAAGCCCAGGCCAAGCCTTCCAGATCTCCACGTGCTCCCGGCCTAGCTGACCCACCCAGGAAAGCGCCGTGTTTGGTTCCCGCCTTCCGCGTGGTTGCACCCCACCAGCTATGGGCTCTTGGCAAGAGTTGCCTGAAGCCCCGCGACCCAGATGTTTGGGTAGAAGCAGCCCTGTTTCTGCCTCATGATACAAAACAAATCCCCCTCCCTCCGGTTTTTTTTTTTTCTTTTTTGCTGGAAAGGGCGTCCTCTGCAGCTAATAGTAAGCACCCGCACGTGATGGTAGATCTTGTTGAACAACACTGAAGAAAACCAGTGGGGTTGCTGGTGTTGCAAAAATGCAAATAAAGCATGTGAATGTCTGCGGATGATGTAAGCAGCAGTAAAGGAACGCCCCCATTGATTGATTTGATTACCCTAGGTCAAGAAGGTGAACAAAACTCTGTGGTTTTCAACGCAGCGTCTATACTTTCAGTTCCTTGGTCCCCAGGCCAAATGAAGTCCAAAACTTAAAGTTCATAGTGATATCTCTTGGCTACTCTAGTTGAGCAAGCCCCTCCTCCCATTCTTATTCCTTTCTAGCCAGGTTTAGATGAAGCCAAAAACAGCTGTATGGTTAGGAGTGTACAGTGCCCTGAGTTGCTAACACTCAAACATGCTTTTTTTTGTGGGGGGAGAGTAAAACAAGGAGTCCCATGTCATTTGAAAGACCAATAAATGAATTATCCAGCTGCACTGGCTGAATATGCATCTTTAATGAACACTACTTTATGTAGAATATGAGTGCAAAAATGTTTAAAAATTAATAAAAAATAACTCCCCCTTTTTTTTCTGGAAGCAGAGAACTAATACTTTCTGGGGACAATAGTCGCTGCTCCAGATTGGAAGGAAAATTAAAGACTGAATTTAAAATTCAGTAGGAAGCTAATTCTGCAAACAAATGGGTTATATATGCTTAGTATTATTCAGAACTGTTGTTACAAGCCCGTGCAAGTATAGTGAATTCCAGAGGAGGAAGAGGAAGAGCTGTAGTAGTAAAAATTGAATGCCTTGTGGCACTTTAAAGACTAACCCATGTATTGTTGCTTAAGATTTCAGAGCACAGTGCACTTCAAGTTGATGGCATTCGTTTTGGAAAAAGCACTACCGATTGAAGGAAGCGAAAGGGTAAAATATAAAAGAAGTGAGAGAATATGGTGGACTTCACATATAACACTACGCCATAATGGGTTTGTTTGGGGTTTGCTTGGCATATTATGTGAACTGTGTCATAGCTATTAAACACCATGATTTATGACTTAGTTTAATATCTGAATCCAACCTTGGTTAAAACAAAACAGGCATAATGTGATGTTTGGAGCCAGATAGTGCATGACACTGGTTCTGGACTAAATCTGAATGCGGGTCCCAATGAAATAATCGGGATTTAAGTTATAACTAACTTTACCACATTGATACAATCTTCAAAGGCAAAAGCAAACAATTCAGTGGCTTAATAAGATGTGAGAATCACACTTAATAAGCCAGTGAGAATCACCTTCAGGGGAACATGTGGCATTCCAGATGTTGCTGAATTAAAACTCCCAATATTCCCTGCTATTTGTTATTCATTTCTGCAAAATTCTAGGAAAGCTGGCAGGTTGATTTCCCCACTCCTGATGTATACTTTTGGATTCCTTGTTTATATGACATATATTTTCCTTAGAGGTAAACTTATGCCCAGAAGTAGATATAGGATTGCAACTTCATATTTTTCATTCAGCTTCTCAAAGCATCCTTCTCTGATAAGAATGCTTTTTATTAGCGAGCACAACAGACTTTGTCACCAAAATGTACCTTGACCCTCCACCACAGGAAACTTCACACCCATTTTCCGTTCTCCTGATTTCAGGAAATTTTGTTTCCTTTTACATGTGAACTTCAGGACCAACTACCATCAGAAGGAAATGCTACTTTCCAAGCTGTAATGTGAAAGGACTGTCTGCAAAAAAACCCCGCTTGGCATGTATTATATGTATGTGCACCCGCAGAATCCTTTAGTGGTGTTATAGTGATCTAGAGTGAAACAGTGCTGAGTTTTTGGCTTGCTTCCTAAAAATATAAATTATATTCTAAGCAGAGTGTACCATTCATGAAATCTCATATATATAATTTTTATTAAGAATTTTTATTATAATAATAAAATCTAATAGAAACTAAACTTAAAGAAAAGAGAATAAAAAGAAAAGTGCAAGAAAAAAAGAAGAAAAGAATGTAATAAGAGAAGTGATTTCCAACCTTCATCACGAGTATAAACAGATTTAGTGACTCTACCCCTTCTAAAGTTATAAACATTTATCTCTTCATCCCATATCCCAATTCTTATCTATAAACAAATTCATAAAGCATCATCTTTTCAGTCCTGATATCAGCAGAAAGTCTGTAAAAGGTTGCTAGAGGTAACAACGTACCTTGTTTTAACCTTGATCAAATAAACCAACTTTACATTCCTTCCTTTTACTTCTAACAATCTTAATCTTTAGTCCATTCAAATATTGTTATAAGATTGATTTCTCTTCATTTCTTATTTATCTAAAATGACGTAGCAAAATAATTATCCCCTAGGTTCTCTATTGTTGAAATTACATATACCACAAAAAGTTGAAGAACTCTCATGACCTATGTTGGGTGAAAGCTGAGAAATTGCCCTCACTGCATTTGCAGCATTACTATTTGCTTCCATTTTCTTTCTCCTTTCCCTCCTGTCCCTTAAACAGGACATTTGATCTTGGATATCTTAGGATCAGCAGCATGTCTTAGGATCAGCAGCAGCTCCAGTGCAGCATGCTAACTTCTTAGCTGGGTTTACACATTGTACTAAACAGTAAGGAAACAAACGATACGTGGCAAGAACTTAATTTTGAGCCTTGTAAGATGCTGTGTTTACCTAATGAGATAGTCCACTTTTGTGATTCTACCTGAAGTCACCAGAGCAGCAGTGGCTGTCTTTGAATAACAACTCTCAGGACTCCTGCTAAAATTTGTATGACTGTTTATTAGATTTAATGCTACATTACCCACCCTTGCATCAGTATATTAGATTATACTGCCATCTATAGATCCCTGACTTGTTATACTCCAGATATGGTTGGGTTGACAAGTCCCGAGTTTCCAGCCAGCATGATAAAAGTTGTAGGCTTAACATTTCTGAAGGGTACCAGTGGGAAAGGCTGACCTGGATTATAGTTATAAGATAAACAAGTACCTCACAAGGATGTTGCACATCTGCAGTATAATTTGCAACATTTGTACTCAAGACAGGATAATCATGATTAACCACTTCCCAGTAGAACTTAGAAAGAGAAGGCTAAAGAGGACATTTGATCTTGGATATCTTAGGATCAGCCCTTGCTCCAGTGCAGCATGGTAACTTCTTAGCTGGGTTTACACACTGCACTAAACAATAAAGTGGTTTGGGATTTGAAGTTTTAGCAAGAACAACCCACTGTGCTTTGTAAACAATGGTTAAACAAAAAAATAATTTATCATAAGATGTGAACGGAGTCAGTTGGTCAAGCATTTTTTAGGCAGCTTCATAACAGGAGCAGCCATCTTTATAAAAGGTGGTTCAACACAGAATGGAAATCTGATTGGTAATCTCCAATGAAAGCCCTAAATGTAATGGCATTTCTAATAGTGTGCCTATCAAGCAAAGTTCTGACATTTAACTAATTGGTTTTGAAAAACTAAGGAATAATGCAGATAAAGCATTGCTTTTTAATCAAAAGTGGTAATGAAAACGGATGGATATGAGAAACGATAGGGTGTGCCTCAGCAAAGGTGATACCTTCTAAGGCACATCTCATCCCAAAACAATAATGCAGATACTGTTTTGCTTCAGAACCACTAGCTTAGCTATATACAAATCTTATTAGGTAACTAATCTCATTTAACTCATTGAGAAAACCCAGTAAGGAGTTGCTGTGTTGTTGAAGGCTATCTATTTCAGGCTCATAACGAGACTTTGGTGAGGATTTTTTTCTGTTATAGGAAGTAGGGCAAACAGAGCTTAGGATACAAAGACCATGAGGGCCTTTAGTGTAAGGCTATGTCAAGGCTCTGCGGCGCTGGGAGCAAATTAATAGGGGAAGTGTTGGCATGCAGCCACCCAGCCTCCTACCTGTGCTGGTGTTCAGCGTTTTGGATTGATTTATGCCAGCATTGGGATCCCCAGAAGACAGCCTCACATGGCAAAAAGTCAGACTTCTTTCAGCTCTGTTTGAGGTATAGGGATATCATATACTTTGTCTAGTTTTGTTGCATGTGATTGTTAAGGATAATTCTACTGGGTGAGCTGTATCTTTTTTCTTGCAAGCTTGATTCGGGCCAAGTATTGGATGTCTCAGTATGGATTGCATAATGTGGGTATAAAATTAATACATTGAAATGTTCTGTGCTGTTTATTAAACTTATCCTTTACATAAACACTTAATTATTGAACAATCAATGTTCTTAATAAGATATTCTAATTTTATTACTTATGATGGATATTGGTCCATTAGTGTATTTAGATAATGAATTGTTTTGAGCTGGAAGTCATTATGGAAAATATGGCATTGGAAGATCAATGGATTACCATTACTGATGCATTAAGAAGACTCAAGATCCATATTAAAGCAGCCATTTCCTATATGTAATTTTTTATTTCACAGATTATTGAATGGTGAAAAGTGCAAGGCTAAGGAAGCAACCCAATGCACACCAGGAAGGAAGTCCACTGAACTGAATAAGACTTACTTCTGAATAAAGATGCAGAGGATTATGCCTCACAATCTGTCAATGCCCATTCAGTGCAAGTCCTTTTGGATCTGCTATATAAAAAAGATTCTCCTCACCTGTATCATGTACATACTTTTGGATGACAATAATGCAGATTATCTAACTGATCCAACTCCGATCACAAGTCTTCCACCCCAAATAAAAAGGTCTTGGGACCTGGGAGTTTTATTTGAGGAAGACACAGAAAAGAAAACTAGGGTAGTTAATTTTTTCCCAATGAAAACCTGAAAACAAGCAGTCTCCACTAACGACATTTTTGTTTCCATATTTCCTCCTAATCTTCTTTTCCTTTGCTTTGTGCCCTTTTATATTTTTCTTCTTCCCTTGTTTACAGTAATTGGTTCCTCTAGTCAAATTTTTTTCCTTTTTTCAGAAAAAAGCACTTTAAAATATGTGCTCAATCTCTTTTTTTAGCCTTAAGAATTGCTTTAGGTACATCTTTCATCCTCAGAACTAATTTCAGAGATGGCCTAATATAGTCAAGAACTGGAAAGACATGTTCAGTAGGGAATGGATTTAGGTAGGAGCCCAGACCCCCAGTACATTTTTTTTTTAGGAAAAAAACAGAAAGGTATTGTATACAATATACAGAATGAGGTGCTAACTCTATATTTCCCAAGCTAGGTATGTTCAACTTTCAGAATTCCTCAGCCAGGTTAACCATTGTTGAGAATTCTGGAAACTAAAGCCCACACATCTGGAAGTTGCCAAGATTGGAAAATGCTGTACTGTACTAGATTGATGGGATCTATTTTGGATCATACCACTTTGGACTGCAGATACAAGGCGACATGTTTGATTTAGGTATCATAGCTTATTGAAAATGTATTATGCAAAGATGTTACATAAGGAACATTAAAAATATGACACTCCTCCTTGCAACCTGCAGACCAAAATATTATAATCTCATTCTAGATCCTTACTGCCCTGAGAAGGCAACATCAGACCCCCAAAATACACTGTCTCTGGCCAGGGCCACCTCATTTTGCACTACAGGAAAACCCTCTGCATGTAGGTTATAAATGTGATCCTGTAGCCAATGGAAAGACTCTTGTCCAGAAACCCACTAGGAAATAAGAGCCTCTGAGATAGGTAGCATCTTCTTTTCATGGGGATTTGATCTAGTCCATATCTCTCCTCTTCCTCCACTGGAGCATTTTGAGGAGGCTGAGACTGGCTTTGAAGAGCCGATCATGTTGGAAGATCATCTGGTGGAAGGTGTTGAGAGGCAGGTTCCCACTGGGATCGGCATGCTTGAGAGTGGTGATGGGTGTGTAGAAGCTGTTGGTCTGATATCGCAATGCAGGGTTCTCAGAAGTGATCACTTTCATAACATGCTGCCAGAAAAAGAGCAAGACATGGAGTTAGAGATGCAGGCTGCTACTCCTTTTTTAAAGAAAAGTGTATGCTGGGGTGAAGGGAGGGAATAAAGTAATTAGGGTGGGGGAAGGCAACCAACATATTTAAAGATCTGATCTTAGAGTCAAGATGAAGCTTCAAAAGATCAGGATATTTTTTAAGCTGTACACTGCAGTTTGAAAAAGACTATTAATTTGTGGCAATAATGAGTTATTTGATAGTAATACCCATCAACCACGGAAGTCTGTTTTTTAACCAAAGGAGTTTCACATCTGGTATATATACCATGTTTATACACATGGTTTTATCATTCTGTCTCTAATGGTAGTAATTCAAGACTGTATTACATATTTGGAAGCGGACATGGGTCTTGGGTGAGGTTAACATAGGGAATTTTTGGAGGGAAGTCATCACTGAACAATAGACTCAATTACAGCAGTGATAGATGCACTGTTGTAAGACCTGAAGAAAAAGACTGGGGACAGATCTCCTAGAAAAAATATGCTTCTGGCTTCATGCAGGTGAATACAGCACATCTCTGCTGCTTCCGTGGAAAAAAAAAACGCAGCTGCCTTAAGGATTAAAGTTAACACAACTCTTCACACAAGGTCTGAAGCACTTGGAATCACTTTCAAAGTCTGTGTAGCCCTAACCTACAGCAAACTAATTTTGTTTAGTATAAAAGAAAGGTACTCTTTTGTGGATTATCCCCTTTTCTCTTTCTTTGCCCATAATAATAAAATGCAGGCAAAGCTCATTCCCAAATGACCAGATGTTTTATGGTACATTTTTCTCTGCGTTAATGGTATATGCCAGTTGGACGGGGAAAAACAGAACAAATACCGGGCACTTTTTAAGAACCGCTGGTGTGATGAGCAATATGTTTTATTTCACTTTAAACACAGTACTCCAAGCAGATGATTTTGATTCTCTTCTATTCTGCTTACAGGGGAGAGTGAAACACATTCGCCTGCTGTCTCTGATTGAAAAACAGAAGGAGGTTTTGACTTTAGGGCCCAAATACAAACTCATCTTTAGGAGTCTTACTTTTAGATGCCAAACTTTCCTATGTACTGTATGGTTGAAGCTGTATATTCAATACCATTCTTCTCCAAACAGTTCAGTGGACTGTGTACATTATGTCCCCATTGTATACATGCAGAGCGATGTCTGTTGTCATAACAGTGACTCAGGAAATTACCTTCATCTACACCAGTGTTTCTCAACCTTGGCAATTCTAAGATGTGTGGACTTCAACTCCCAGAATTCCCCAGCCAGCCATGCTGGCTGGGGGATTTTGGGGGGTGGGGACACATCTTATATTTGCCAAGGGTGAGAAAAAAAGATCTACACAAAAAG